ATCATAATTCAGTTCATTTGCGTGAAACTCAGACCCCGTGCTTAGTTGCGATTGTTCATCAAACGTGGTCGAAAAAGCAGATGAATGATAAGGGGACAAGCAGTACAACGGTCATTATAAATATTCAATCAAGAGGGTACAATGTATGCAAGATAAATATAGCGCCTCTGAAGCAGAGAGAAGATATTACTAAGGAATACTGTAGTATACATATGACCTACAACGGACAAATCGAATTTATGCAGAAGCTGAAAACGATTCAGAGTGATGAACGTCGGAAAGACTGTAGTTGTAGACATAACAGTCCCGTCTTTTTCCCTATGTTCTGTATCCCAACCCCCTCTCCAGTTATTGTTATTATTATTGTGGCGTTGGCACCATGCTTGTCCGCAAGCCAACGTTATATATATATATGTATATTTCTAAAATAATAACGTATTCCGAACAAAGTAAATATATTTCCTTAACAATACTTTAAGTGCTGTTATTGGTGTGTTCTGCGAGCTCCAAATATTGTTCGCAGACGTTTTGTAACCAAGTTAGACAACATCATCAGTAAAACTTCGATGATGATGTTGCCGAACCTGGCTACGAAACGTTTGCGAATAACACTTCGAGCTCGGAAAACACCAACATCCGCATCCCAAACTACAATCATTTCACATTATTTCCAGTGGCTTAAGTACTATATTTATCGATTGGAATGTTGAAAAAACTTCTAACTGTACCAAGCTGCAATACATCAAATGCGCACTGCGATCCCAGAGTTTGGTTTGTTGTTATTCGGGGCATATTTATTGCAGTGACATCAGTGATCGTCTGTAATGCTCGTGCCAAGTAAACTCGGCCATTTAACTTTATTTCCAGACAGTATAACTCACGTAGCTCTTCACAAAACTGCTCGCGCAGTTTGGTCAACGAGTCCGATGGTGGATTGGGAGCAGTGTCAATACCCCGTACAACACCAGAAGAGTTGGAGTTTATCGGTCCAACAGACTGCGGGTGCTCATTCACCATTCCATCTCTCACAGTCTCGACCATAACATACAGAATGGAAAGAATCACGCGCAAGTCCGTGCTATCGATCAGAGAGTTAGCCGTCTTCTTTGCTGCAGTTGCACTGCTTGGGAAATCAGGTGAATCTGCTGTAGCATCAACTGCTACATCATTATTCGCCTCCTCATTTGTCTCCGTGGGAGCAGATGGAGTGGTCCATTTGCTTGATAACGGAAGAGAATTCACCACGAAAACCCACATGAAATTGTGCAACTAGTCATAAAGCTTTAGAAAAAGTTCAACTTTAGGAAAGGAACTGTGAATAAAAATATATGCAGGACACGCATGTCTGAGGGGCGGTAACAACTGCATAACTGGCAGTGTTTTCAGAGATTGCCGTCGAATAATTCATATGCCACTTAGTGTAATTTAAACCTCACAACAAAACGATTGCAAGCCCCCGCCCGCCCTTTAGACTTTTGGATTATCTCGGCACAAACATGCGTCATCATGACTATTTTTGATAATCTAGACGGACAGCGATTGAAAAGCCTAAATACGAAATTTCATCAAATTATCTTTAATTTTAACGAAAGTATGCGAGAAAAAGAGAATGTTCATCGGGATGAAAATATTGTACCTCCTATAGACTTTAACCATTGAAGCAACTTTATTGCTCTGTATAACATTTCGATCATGTCCGTATCGATATTATGACACTCCCTAATCAGCAATGCCTCTGATTCGTGTTTTGTGGTGTAAACTCTGGGGTATTCCTTTCGGAAAAGAATAGCCCAGCTGTTTTCTACTGTGTTTCAACCAAGGCTGAACTCAGGCCCCGAAATAATAACGAGCATATTTTTAAATTCAAACAAGGAACTAAAGCGATATCATGCTGTAAAATGACAACAGGGTGATCAATCCGCAGCAAGCGCTTCTTCACCCCCATTTCATATGTGCAAAGCTCAAATCCGTCCTGCTCTCTCAGGTGTAGAGTGAGGCTTCACGTTTTTTTCAACGGAAGACTATCCGGCTGATCGACGATCCTACCCTAACCTCCAATCTGCAGTCACTAGCGGTTGTTTCCTGCTCTACCGCTACTACTTTGGCTTGTGTTCGTCCGAACTTGCCTCGGCAGTGTCCCTGCCTGTGACTTTTGCCCGCACATGCCGTACACAGGCATCTAGTCATTCTTATCGGATTTTGGTCACCAGATGTCGTACGTATCTGCCTCTATCTTATTTTTCATCAAACTGCCAAGTTGTGGAACACAACAAACTTTCAAAATAAAATTCGATCGGCGAAAGAAGCTGGTTTTCGATAAATACATCAACTAGCCATTTGCATTTATATAGGCAGGGTACTCAATATTGTTTCATACGGTGTGAAGTGGACCTTAATCTCCTATGTACTAAACGATTCTGAGCGCATCAACATTTTTATTGAAGTATCCTTAGTTGCGACGTTCTCGCAGTTACCACGCTCGCATCGGTTTGTCACTTGGCGACTGGCCATAGTAGAAATAATGCCTAGGCGAAACTATTGAATCAGAAGCGTTTCAGTGGACTAAGATTGCAAAGAATTCGAGAATATGCACCAAACGCCACTACTTGAGACACTCAGCCGTATCATTCACTAACCACTGATTACGGTCATCGCGAGGTCTCCAGCCAGGGAGCCGTATAGTACCTATGCGAAACAGATTCCTCATACGAGATTTTATACCCTCATGCCAGGTCATCATCATCATCATCGTACAGCGAAATACAGTGAAGCGAGCTTCACTGATCGCTTCCAAGCTCACAATGTANATGTACACAAATCAAGTGATAAAGCACAAGGTGGAGAGGGATTGGGCCTAATTGGAGGGGGGCAAAGAAAAAGAACCTCCATGTTCAACACACAGACTACACAATCTAAGTGTGCATTCATTCCTTTTCAAGCATTCTGACTTGTTAAGAAATGACAACAAGAGTGCCACTGCTGTCGGTCAGTCGCCATATCCTTTAATGTCCCCAGCCAATCAGTTGTAGAGTCTTTCGGACCCCAACCTAGAAGACGAGAGACACCAATTCTACCTGATCGCTCTGTGCATTTTTTCATGCCTCGCTTCCACGTCATCTGTTGACCTTCACGCGGTTTCTTCCAACCTGGAACCGCAACTGCGAAAAGGCGCAGTGCGGTAGACGATGGCTAGACATGCGCAATACGTGTCCTAACCAGCGAAGCCGATTAATCTGAATTCAATGGGAATCGAATCATTACCAAGTAAGCGACGCCTCACCTCAGAGTTGCTTACAAGCTCGCTCCATCCAACCCGCGCCAAACTACGTAA